ACACACACACACACACACACACACACACACACACACACACACACACACTGCTAAATTTGTTTTAAAAAAACAAGAAGGATGAGGTTAGGCTGGGGACAGAGACTCCGGTTGGAGGATCTGGGCTGTCACCTGCGGTGTTTTCACCTTGTTGGGCCGCTGTCTGTAGTGCTGAAGCCTTGCTCAAGCCCCAATCCTGCCCCGGGAAATGCAGTAAGGAGGCGTAGCCCTCCAGTATCCTAAAAAGGGGTGTGCTTCCACAAGACCAGCCACACTCCCAGAAAGCCAGAGTTAGCCACAGGCCTGCCAAGCCTTGCTGGTCCAAGTTTGGAGACTTTATCTATGGTCTCTCAGGCTGCGTGACTCTAATAGGGATCGTGTAGAACCCTTAGCACAAACCTCTTCACCCGCTTCGGAGCAGCGAGGCGTAGCCTTGCCAAGGAGGGTGCCAGTGCCCACGTTCTGGACCCTAGAGTGCTTGGTGCACTCAAAACCCACAAGGTCTAGTTTCCTCCACAGTCAATATAGTTAAGACCACCCTAATTGCTAGATCACTTCTACTTTTCCTTCTTTCCTTCCTTCCTTTCTTTTTCCTGTTGCTGTTCTTATTCAGTTGTTGTTGTTGTTCGTTTTTAAGGAAAATCTCTGTAGCTCAGGCTGGCCTGGAATTCACTATGTAACTGATGATGACCTTGAATTTATGACCTCAGCAACTCAAGTGTTGGGATTACAGGCTTTCAGCATCATGCCAAGTTTATGTGGTGCGAGGGATGGACCCCAGGCTTCATGCATTCTAATAATTTATTTAATAATAATATTATTAAATAAATTAATATTATTTAATAATATTATTATTACTATTAGTGTGTGTGTGTGTGTGTAGGTCAGAGGACAACTTTGTGAAGTTGGCTCTCCCCTTCCACCTTTATATAAGTTCTAGGGATCAAACTCAGGTTGCCGTCCAGCATAATGGCAATGGTTTTAATCCCGGCACTTGGGAGAAGCAGATGGATCTCTGAGTTCAAGGCCACCCTGAGTTCGAGCAAGTCTTTTCCTGCTGAGCTATCTGTCCTTTTGTTTTGGTTTATTTTGTTTTGTTTTGTTGAGAAAGGGTCTCATATACCCCAGGCTGGCCTTGAACTCCTGATCCCCCTGACTCTCCATCGCCCAAAGCTGGTCTTACAACCATGTGCCATTGTGCCCACTTTATTTTTTTTTTCTTTCTGTTTTCTTGTCTTTTTCCTTCACTTTTGAAAAAGACAAGATCTTCCTAAGAGGTACACATCAGCCTGGAGCTTGCTGTGTAACCCAGGTCAGCTTAGAGTCTTGCGTAGCCCATGTTACCCTCAAACTACCAAGGATCCTCCTGGCTCACCACCCAGTATTATTTCTAATATCAGCAGAGGTCATGTGGACGAAACCTATTCACCTCGGACCTAGCAGCACGGGTCTGGGTCTTTGTCCCTTAACAACCTTCTGATTGTGTTTGGGCCACGGAAAGCTGTCTTCACCCCTTCAGAGTTAGGTCCTGGACCGAAGAGGGAACCAGAACGGTGTCAAGACAGGACTCAGGGTCCACAGGCACCAGGGAGCCAGAATCCGAGGCCTCAGCATATTCATTCTCGGCATTCCGAGTCCGCCGGCACGCACTCGCTTCCACCTGCCGCGCCGTCGGGAGCCGGGAGGAGGCGGGGACCCGCCGACCCAGCCAATGAGCGACGCCGGCGCTGGCAGCTGCCGCTATAAAGGGCTGGGGGCGGCGGCGGTGCGACCCAGAGCGCGGAGCGCGCAGCGCGGGCCGGAGGGAGGGAGGGAGGGCGGGCGAGAGGCAAGGACCCGACACTCGGCACCCGGCACCCGGCACCGGACAGGCCGGACCGAGGGCCCACCGCAGAAGGCAGAGCTGCCGAGATCTTAGTAGGGAAGGGCGACCTCTCCGGGCCCCGCGGGGCCGCGCACTGGGCGTCCTCCACCGCGCGCCCGCTCCCTCCATCCACCTGCCGCCGGGGACCCGGCCGTCGGCGCGCGCATCCCCAGGCTCGGGTCCGTTCCCGGCCCTCGAGGGCGCCGCCGCCTCCATCTCCGCCTCTGCAGCGTCCGCAGCCGCAGACGCCCGGGCGGGACCCCGGCGTGAGCACCGGGCGCCCCCCCAGGAGTGCACGACCCCCGGAGCCGCCCTCGATACGGACCGCGCCCACCGGGCACACAAGAATGGTCACTGTAGGTACTCCCTTGTCGCTGCGAGACGAACACGGGAGGGAGGGGCTGAGTCTGGCTCCACGGAGACGCGGTGGGGGGGTAGGACCAGGCCTAGCTAGGCCTGGGTGGGGGGGTAGGACCGCGCCTCGGGCCTGAGAGTGGGTACAGCCGCATCCGGAGTTCTGGGGAGCAGAGCCTGGTCGGAGAGGACTGGCCAGCCGGGCTGTGTGCGGGGTGCCCTCGGCCACCCCGGGGTCTGGATGGCCCCTCTCTGGAAGGCTGTGGGGGAGGGGCCGCGGCGGCGGAGGATGTTTCCAGCATCCCAGGCCCAGACCCGCAGGCCGCCCAGGAGGACGCGGGCCGCGATGGCCTTCTGTTGGTCCGGCAGAGGCCACAGGGCATTCTCTGAGAGCTTTTTGTGGGGGATGGAGAGGCGGGGTGGCATCGGATCGCGCTACCCCGGGCCCCGGCCGCGCCCGAGAGGCGAACATCTTCGTCCTCGAGCCCCGTCGACCTTGCGGCAAGCGGGGAGGGGAGAGGAGGGGGCGCCCCGAGGCCTCGCTGCCACCGCCGTGGTCCCTTTGTCTCTCCGCCCTTCTTCGCGGGCCGTGGCCTCGCGCGGGGCCTTGGGGCTGCGGGGGGGGGGGACGGGAGGGGGGGTTTCTCGTTTCCCCAGCCGTTGCCTCCAGGTGAGGGGGTGAGGGGCTGCAGCAGCATCCCATCGGGCCTTCTGCACGCGCCCTCCCCGGGCCAGGGCTCCGGGCCTCGGGGTGACCTTGAACGCGCCTGCAACTCTCGCCGCTCGGCCGGCGCGCGTTCGCTTTCAGCAGCCTCGGAGCTGGTCAGCTCCCGAACTCACGGCCCCGCCCGGTGTGCCACGCCCTGCCGTGCCACGCCCATCCAGGCCCCGCCCCGAGGCCCCCAGGACCTGGCCTGGAGCGAGCCCTCGGACCTCCACCCGGCAACCCGGGCGTGTCCCGGGGCGGGGCTGGCCAGTGCTCACCGCACCCTGGCTCCACCCCCGCCTCCCTGAGCGACTAGCTCCCCGCGCCGCCGCGCGTCCTTTGTCTGGTCCCCGCGCCCAGCCTACCTTTTCTGCTCTTCGGAGATCTCTCCGTGCGTGTCTCTGCACACCAAGTGTTGTTCCCGGCCTCTTTTTCGAGTCGCAGCTAGTACAGTGGGGGACGGGAAGCTCAGTAGTCTATTCTGGGCCTCCTCTCTCTTGGGCCCGGGACCAGCCCACCTGGCTCTAAGAAAGGACCATCTCCTCCCCGACGTCTTCCCAAGACCGGCTCTTCGTGCTGTGTGACCTCAGGCTGGTTCCTTACCATCTCTGGGCCTCAAGGTGCTCATTCAGGTCTGAGAACAGGAGTGTGGCCTCCTGGGGACTCTCAGAACCCCCATAACAATATAGCACCCCCTAGACTTACCCTCCTCTGTTGTTCTGCTTGGAAAGAATGCGCAAAAGAGAAGAGGGTGTGGTCAGAGGTTACAGCAGGGCCCGGAGCCCCGGGGGGCCTGGAATTCCCATGGGTGGTGGTGGGGGACACTCAAGAAGGAGGAAGTGAGGGGGATGGAGACAGTGAGGGCCCCTAGCAGAAGTAGAGGAAAAGGGTTCAGGAATTGGAGCTCAGTCTGCACCACGTGGTGGCCCCGACTTGCCTGCATAGATAGCCAGCCACTCAGTGGCTATTGTCACCAGGCATCTGTCACCGTGACTGGGGCCCAGAGGCCCAGCTGGAGGCCACGGGGGTCTTTGGAGCAAGTGGCTTTAGGTGTGTTCTTGACAAATCCTTCCTCGGCTGTGTGTGATGGGGTGAGGGGTGCAGTGGCAGAGAGAGAGTGGGAAGAAGCCAAGAGTGAGAAACAGACCCACAGGAGGAGCCAGGGAGGGAGAGAGGTCCCGCTCAGTCAGTTCTGGGCCGGTCCTCAATGTCCTTCTGATCGCTGCGGTGCCGCCAACCCGGGCTACGCAGTGACCACCGGGCAGGCCGGGTGTGGCTTCTGCCAATCCGATCCCCATTATCGGCTTAGTCGGCTCAGCAGGTTCAGCTGTGAAAGGGACTCCAGGCCCTGCCCAGCAAAGCTGAAGCAGGGGGGAGACATGGGAGATGAGAGGCTGGCAGCAAACTCCCCAGAACCAGCTCGCCCTGGTACCCCTGATGTGATGTCAGGGCAGCTGGTAGGTAACTCACAGACTCCGGGGCCAGTGAATCAGGGGTCAGTTGCTGACTGAAGCTGGGCATGGAGCTGGCACTGGCTGAGCCGGGGATTGCCATCGTTTGTGCCAACCTGAGTCCGTCCCCAGGACACACGTGGTGGAAGGGAAGAACCAACGCCTCAAAGTTGTCTTCTGACCCCCACACAGGTGCAGTGGCCCACAGGAGCGCACACACACAGGAGCACACACACACACACAGGAGCACACACACACACACACACACACACACACACACACACAGGCCTATCTAAGATAGGCTCCATAGCAAATGCTAAACCATTACCTCTGGCCTTGGTTTCTCCATCTGAGAAATGGAGCAAATGGTTTCCAGTTTTCTGAATAGTGCTGGAAGCCTACAAACATGTAGCTGGGCATGGTGGCATGGAGGCCAAGGCATGTGGATCTCTGTGAATTCGAGGCCAGCCTGGGGTATGTAGTGTATCCAGGACAATGGGGCTACATAATGAGACCCTGTCTCAAAACAAACGAAACAAAAATCCAGACTCCACGTGCTCAGTGCCTGATACACAGGGGGCTCCAGAAACTAGGATGTGAGTGCCTAGCACGTGCAATGTCTTACGTTCCAAAGTAATATCTGGAGCGTAGTGAAGAGTCGGCGCTCGGCATCGCTTTGCTCTTTGGATGTTTGGTTGTCTTTTCATTCAGTCTTGTTTCTAAGACAGGTTTGATTCCGCATCAAGCTCCGAGGTCCGGGGATCACAGCTCGGGCTGGCAGGCCAGTCCTGGTTTGTTAGTTTAGTTTTGTTTTGTGGTGTTTGTTTGTTTTTGTAGTGCTGGGGCTGGAACCCAGGGCCTTGTACGTGCTAAGCGAGGGCTTGCCATACGGTTATGCCGCTGCGGCTGTTGTTATTACTATTGGCCGTTCATTCTTTACTCCTAGATGTGAGTTTTTCATTACACTTGTAAATTGGTTTGTTTGTGTGTGTGGCGGTCAGAGGACCACTTGCAGGATTTGGCTCTGTCCTTCCACCACGTGGATGCCAGGGCTCACACTCAGGCGCGGTTGCTTGTGTCTTTACCCGCTGAGCTCTGGGTTTGTTTCTCATGAGGAAGCTGGGGATAGGCTTGGCGGCAGGGTGCCTGTCTAGTGTGAAAGAGGCCTGAGTTCAGTCCCAGGACTAAGAAGGCAAAACAAAAGAATAAGATGGCAAGCTCTCAGAACACAGGCTGTGATATCAACATAGTGTTAATATTAGGGAACCTGAATCGGGCGCCTTTAATCCTGGAACTCGGGAGGCAGAGGCAGGCTCATCTCTGAGCCCAAGGCCAGAAAGAAAGAAAAGGAAGGGAGGGAGGGAGGGAAAGAGAATATTAGGGAACCTAAATGTAGACCTTGCAGTGTTCATTCAGCTGTGCCCATGACAGCCATTGCTAATAAGCCCAGGATTTAGTCAGTGCAGGGCGTGTTCCGTTAGAGACCGGATGTGTCTTTGGAGCACATGACTAGGCAGCTACTCTCAGCTGACTGACTGGCGGTCAGAGGAGACCCTCTGAGGCACCCTTCCCTCACCCTACTGTACTCAAGATGCCCCGGGCCTTGCCGGCTTGAGGCAAGCTACACCCAGCGGTGTCAACCTTTTAGCCGGTGCCCAGCTGCCTCCCCAGCTACAGGGGAGGTGACCAAACCTTGTAAGCCAAGAACTCGGCAGCCACCCCAAGGGCAGGGTATGTGGCTCAGCTGGGAGAATGCTTCTTGGCATGCGACAAAGCCTGGACTGGACTCCCAGCTCCACTCAAACCGGCACAGGCCTGTAAACCCAGCTTGTGAAGGGTGGAGACTCAGGGGTTCAAGGTCAGGGACCAGGAGAAAGCTCGGCAGGTAGAGGGAGGCACTTACCATCAAGCCGACAACCTAAGTTCAAGAGCTGGGACCCTCACGGCAAAAGGAGAGAACCAGTCCTTAAAAGTTGTGTGGAGTCTGTACTCACTGAGGTGGGATGCTTGTAAATAACACTGCTGAGGCAGGGGCATGGACCTTACAGACCTCCTTCCACTTCTTACAGCTAAGCCCACAGCAGACTTTACTGCCCTCAGAAGGCTTTCCAGCTGCCCAACACAGGGCTTCCCGTTCTCCCTCAGGCTGCTGGACCCTAATCTGAGGTTCGGCAGTGTGGACTCGAGTCCCAGAAACTTCAGGTAGCGCATCTGAGAATGCACAGTTGGGCAGTGTGAGCTGGAACCAGTCATGCATGGTTGGCAGAGATCAGCAACTCCCTCACCCACCACTCTTAAAAAAATTAACTTTTGTGTGTGTGTGTGTGTGTGTGTGTGTGTGTGTGTGTGTGTGTGTGTGTGTGATGGGCATGCACGTGCTGCAGCAAATGTGTGTGAAGATAAGAGAACAACTTTGTGGGTCTGTTCTTTCACCTTTACATGAATGCCTGGGTTAAACTCTGGTCCTGAGACCTCGACACCTCCATCAAACAGTTTTTACAGATTTATTTATAGTGTGTGTGTGCGTGCGCGCTTGACTGTACGCATGTTTGTGTACATACCTGGAGCTTGGTGGGGGTCCAGAGGCCAGAAGAAGGCAGTGGACACACAGAAAGGAGAGCCCCAGTTGTGAGCTGTCTTGTGGAACCAAACTAACAGCTGAGCAGCCTCGCCAGCCCTTCAGCCTCCATCTTTATGCGGCCTGATATGGGCTTTATTTTTGTAGACAAGGTTTCACTTCACAGTATTGGCTGGCCTGGAATTTGGCATGTAGATCAGGCTGGCCTCAAGCTCAGAGGTTCACCTGCTTCTGCTTGCCTACTTCTGGAGTTAAAGGTGTATGCCG